AATAATGTTGAACAACATGCAAATAGCGATCATAACAACGGCTTTGACAACCCGGGATTAGCAACTGCTTATTTCTGTTGCGATATTTTTATTTCTGTTTGGAAACTTATTGCTCAAAACGAGCCATCAAATTCATTAAAAAATTAAAACGAATTTCAATTGCGTGTTGAAAATAAGAGAGGGACTCACAACGTTGTTACATGGTTGTAATGCAAAAAATTTTCTACCGTACCGGGTTCGAACCGGTGACCTAAGGAATACTGATTTGGTAATAACTACAGTCCTTTGCTCTACCAACTGAGCTAACGGTAGGTTTTAAAAACTAACTTCTATTTCATACTTTTATACATGCAAACTATGAGAAACCTCTTGTCGTTTTATTACAAATTTGTCAGAAACTAGTTGTAATGCTAATTGATCACCTGCCACATTTGGCCCAGGCTTGCCCGCGTTAATTGGTCGCGCTACCTGGCGTTATAGACCGTTGCAAGCTCATTATAAATTCCGCCAAGAGTGTTAGCTGAACAAAGTAACGTCATAGATTTTGCATGCTAATTACTTCCGGCACCAAATTAGATTTGCATGCTAATTACTTCCGCCGCCAGAGGGGGGTATTACTACTAACAACGTTCAAAACCTACAATATAATTATTTGGGATACATCTCAAAATTTCTTTGTTTTATCTCAATTTTCCAGTTCACATAGTTGTCTGCCTTTTTAAATGCATCTGCCGGTCGAGAAACATAAAAAAGTTGTCAATTAAACAGAGTTGCAAAAAAGCTGCGGGCACGCGGGCATTGCCCGCGAGGAAGGTTTACCATAGGTGAGGTCAGTGAGGAAGGTTTAGTGGCCAATGGTTGCTAACATCAAAAGAGTAAAACAAATAAATCATGGTTGAATAAGGCAGTTGTGGCTGACAAGTTGTGGTGGCACTATTGTGATATAGTACATATACCAGATGACTATGACATTGGAGAATACTGAGAAGACAAATAACTGAAAATATTCTGTAAAATTAAAATGTGTAAGTGTCAAGCATCAGAGGTGCCTTATTAGGCCACATAAAATAACTTGCTGGATTCTCATTACCACCCAACTGTATTTTAAGAGCCATGTTAATTTTTTTTATATTTTGTTATACAATATAAATGTACCGCCCGACAAAATATTTCAAGACAGTTAAGGTATTTTATATTGGGGTTTTAGTGCCATTTTAAACTGCCAATTCAAACAAACAGAAACTTGAAAGAAATTTCATTGCATTTTACAGGAACTTCGCATTTAGTTCAAGGAGATATGTTGGAAATGACAGAAATGTGTACTGTAATATGCTTATTTTGGTTTATGACACTTCACTTCAAAACTCACAGAAATGTTACAGTCAAACCGGATGTTCTCTTGCGAGCAACATTGCAATATTGTCCTACAATATTGCAATTTTGATAGGCAGATTGCTCTGAGCAATTTGCAACCGACGCGAACAAATTGCAAGTTGAAATTCACAAACGATTTGAAAACAAAGGCTCTGATTGGACTATAAGAAAGAGGGAAGCACCAATCCAGTCGCTCAGACTATTTGATTGGCTTCCTTCTTTCTTATAGTCCAATCAGAGGCTTTGTTTACAAATCTTTTGTGAATTTCAACTTGCAATTTGTTCGCGTCGGTTGCAAATTGCTCAGAGGAATATGCCTATCAAAATTGCAATATTGTGGGACAATATTGCAATGTTGCTCGCAAGAGAACATCCGGTTTGACTGTAAATGTTAGGAATTATTTTTTTATTTAATGAAATTAACCATCAATGCTGTAGCAACTAAACATTGTAATAATTATACAAATAATGGCCTTATAAAGAAATTTTAGCGTGTGTGATGTGAGTCAGACAAAAATAGTACAGCTTAATTACTGAGTTGTGTAGCTGTCATACATATTTAATGGCAATTGATAAAACTAGAATAGTGAAGCGAATAGTGCGAATAGTCGACGAATAGTACGAATAGTCCGCGAATAGTCCGCGAATAGTCGACGAATAGTGCGAATAGTTCGCGAATAGTCGACGAATAGTACGAATAGTCGACGAATAGTCCGCGAATAGGCGACGAATAGTACGAATAGTCGACGAATAGTGCAATAGAGACTTTGCAAGGCTTTCATGTAGCAGTGCTGTAGAACTAAATTTACCGGGGGGGGGCTCTGTTGACAAACATGAAATCGTAAAAACATTCGTTGACGTACGTCAATGACGTCATACGTAACCGGTAAAAATTACGGGAACCACTGAGTATTTCAATAAAATATAAAACAACGGTAACTTCGAAAATAAACATTTTAATATTGTAGCTTTCGACTAAAATTCACTCGTCGTCAGGAAACATATTTCATATTTTTTTAAATTTATAATCATTCCTGATGGTATAAAGTGGTATCCATATGAGTCATGAATTTTACTGATGGAATTTTATAGGAATATTACTTGTAAGTTATGGCGTTGTAACTGAAGATTTAAGGGCTTAAGTGATTTCGTGTGCTTGGAAAACGTGATTTACATCACGAAACAAGAAAAGATATCGATTTATTATTTAGGCCCGTTTTTGGGCGAATTTGTTGGATCAGTTCGGGCGAATTTTGGGCGAAACCAAATTTCGGCAATGTGATTGGTCAGCGAAAAAATTCGCCGCGAAAAAGTTGGATCAGTTCCTACTCTTTTACTTGTCGCTTCGCGCGAACAAATTCGCCCAGTGGAAAACGCCATTCTAGTGATTGTCATCAGTGGCGCCGTGGCCGGGGGCAGGCATGGCCCTCCCCTATTGTTGACACCCGTCGGAAAATTGCCAATGCTGCCGGAAATTGTCGGAAAATTGTCAAGGTTGTCGGAAATTGTCAAAGTTGTCGACGGGGGGGGGGGGGGGGGGGGGGGGTGAAAATTTAAAATGTTGTCGTCCGGAAAACTTTTTGGTTTGTCGGAAAAAAAAACCCGGAGCCCCCCCTCGCCCCGGTAAATTTAGTTCTACAGCACGGTGGAAAGCCTTGCAAAGTCTCTATTGCACTATTCGTACTATTCGTCGACTATTCGCGGACTATTCGCATTATTCGTCGACTATTCGCGGACTATTCGCACTATTCGTCGACTATTCGCACTATTCGTCGACTATTCGCGGACTATTCGTCGACTATTCGCACTATTCGCACTATTCGCTTCACTATTCTAGTTTTATCAATTGCCCATATTTAATACAGATCGACGGAATATATCGAGGTCCTATAATCGAAATCATTATTTACATACCTGATACCTACACTGTCAATTCCCACAAACTGTATAAGTATATTGCAGGATTGGCAGCGTCTGGTATAGAGATATATTGCCATTGCCATTGATTTTCAACCACTCCAAACATTGCCATAAACTGCCATGCAGGGCACTATACGGCTTGGTTTAAATTTAGCACTTTGCCTCAGAAACAAGTGAGAGCATTCACTGCCTCACTGATTGTGAAATTGGGCGATTGGGTCACACGTCTGAAGACCTAAACACTCTCAAATGCCTTTCAAAACCACGAGTACAGTAATATCATTTTTAGTGTGAAGTTTCTTCGAAACTTCACAGTATTGTGATGGCTGGGGGGAAATTCACACGAATCAGTCAGTCAGTCATTCATTCATTCATTCATTCAGTCATACAGTAAACTTTCCGGGGGGTGTATACGATATATGTTCGTAGTGATGTATCGTACTTAGTCAGTGCTTTGAAGGTTATTTAGGCAATTTCAGTTAACTTATTTACATATTCTGTTATCCTTTTGCCAAGTTCGCAAAAATATCGAGGAATCGCTTTCGTTATTGTAATTTTTTGTAAATTTTAGAACATTCGCTTCTCATGTTGTGTAAAGGATCTTTACCCCGGAACACCCGATTTTTTCTTTAGTAGCGCAAATGCGCATGCGCTATCAAGCCGTAGATCACGATGGCGTCACCGACGATATGCAAGGAAGGAGTGACAGTGTGGTTTTCAGATGTATAAACATTTGAGACGTGAATATTGAGTAAATCTTTGAAAATCCACGCAAAATATAAATTGATCTTATGCATTACGGGCGTTCAATTAAGTTCCGAAAATATTTAGACGGTATATTCATTATACAGAGCCAGGAAGGAGTTAGACCGCCTAGACAGTGCAGTCAAGTGTATAAACATTTCAGACGTAAATATTGTTATATTGAGTCGAAAATGTTTGAGATTCTAGGCATTCAATTGAGTGCCGATATTATTTTCACGGCATACTCATTATACAGAGGTACAGTACGTAGGCAGAAGCGAGACAGTGTTGTTTTCAAGTATATAAACATTTCAGACATGAATATTGAGAAAATCTTTGAGATTCTACGCAATAATACAATATATAAATTTATGTTATGCATTACCGGCATCAAGTAATATGTAAGTGCCCATCGATATTATTTAGACCGTGTATTCATTATACATTGTCATTGACTGTATAAGGTGCTACATCACAGAATAGATGGCTACACTCAGTACAAAGAGTGAAAAATTGCATCAGATCTGTAGACTGTACCAGATCAATAAAGCATAAACAATTATTAAACGGGTAAACGTTTGTACGGCGTTTACGAGGAAAATAACTTGGGAGACTAAACTGAGAAATCATTTGAGTCAGAGCTCCTTATTTAAATAAGAAAGACGAGGAGATAGCCAATGTGTTATCGCCAATCGCTTGCCTCGCCAGCAAGCTTTATGCAATAGAAGAAAAAAGCAAGGAGGTACATGTAGCCAACGTGTACTGTCACGGACCTTCTCTTTGTTTACTGTCTAGCACAACGCCGTTGTCAACGGTGCAAACTCGTGTTCAGTGCGACGATAACTCTACCAGATCTTACGAGAATCAATCTGTAGTATTCTGTACACGGAACTGTATCAAAGCTTGTCAAACCTGCTTTAATTTAAACACTGCTTAACTGTGAAACTATTGAAATCTAAAGTGACATTACAGTAATGTATTCAACACATGCGAAAAGCTGAAAATAGACGTGACACTGGGAAAAGTCAAAGGTCAATGAGACTTGTTATTGTGAAACATGTCACAATTAGGTTAAAATGCGGAAGCGGATGGAGCGGATCCACGGAACGAATATGCGGACAAAATACGGAACGGATGAGGATAAAATGCGTCCTTTTAATGATGTAACGACGTAGTGCTTATTATTCATAACATATCTTATACAGCTATTTCAATTATAGTTTTAGATAAATTTAGCATAGCAGTAGCCTCGTGGGGATGCTTTTAGCGACAGCTGCAAATGCAAATGAAAATTCAGAATATGCAAAATTTGGTTGTTGGTGAAACAATTTAAATTTCGAATTGTCGCGTGTAGCATCACAATAAATAGATAAATTGCATCAGTTTCACAAGGCACGTTTCTGATGTGTTAGGCTTGTTTCAAACGTCACGCTACTCGTGTGCCGAGGGTATTAAAAGCAATAAATAATGAGATGAAATGCCTTTGGTAACTGTTTATTTCGTAGTGTAAGCCATCAGCTTTTGTAGGTTGTCGGCGACCTTATATAGTTCTTGCAGTGTCTTTTTCAATTTGAAACTTCACACTATCCTTGGATCCTTAGTTTAATATTGTTTTATATCCAATATATGATATAGCATGTAGACATAGTAGGTAAGGACTGTCCAATTTGTCCAAAGTAGAAATCTATTATGGCAAATTTATATATTAGAATCATGTACTGTGTGTTATGCTTTCAGAATCAGTTAACTTTATATACTCTAGTATATTGCTATTTGATGAAGCCATATCTATTTAATTTATTTTGAGGAAGGTTTGAAAACTTTAAATTTTACCCGGAGGAAATTTGAAGAGGTTTTGCAACTTGCAATTAAAATACAATTATCAATGATGATTTAAAATTGACGCCATTTATTTACGTACTATCTGAAACATGAGCAGCAATGTTTTATCAGATATAAAGATACGAGGCGAAGCCGAGTATCTTTAGGTCTGATAAAACACGTACTGCGAATGTTTTAAATTTGCTTCAAAAATGATCGATCTAGTAAGTTCATTGGAGAAGTAATTTTCAAAAAATACTTTGAGTAAGTCGAGAAAATTAAAGTTAAAGTTTATGTAAATCAAGGGAAATCTCTATCACATATAAAGATACGACACGGTTATGATTTTTCTTTGTGTTGTCCTCATGAATTATTAATGAGTTTTTGAAAACAATATATTGACGCCATATATTTACAACTGAATTCCACACGTTATTTTTCTTTTGGTGCACCATCTAGATAGAATTGATTCATGTCAGCATTATTTTACAGATAAAGCACAAAACATGGTCGTACTTTTGAAGTTTGTTTGCCGATTGAGAAACCACATCAAAAATTAAACATTTTGAATATAGTGGTAATCAAGTGTATATAAACTTCTTTGTTTTGGGCGCGCATGTTACAGCTGTTATATATTATGTATTGTCTCTGAAAATCTGCTCTCGGGGATTTGTCAATACGATATACAGCTAATTCAATTAAAGTTTAAGGTCTAAGGTTTAGAGACTTTAGAGTTTGCATGGAAGGACAACCCTTTTTGAATTAGTTGTATGCATCGTATGTATCCTTAATATCTTCCTTTCGTATTCACTTGTTTTTGTTTCTTTTGTAACTTAGCCAAAAAGTCCAAAGCCAAAAACGCACAAAATCAGTCAGGAGCTGCACGACACTTTGGGAGATATTTTCAGAAAAATTGGTTCAAAAGAAACTACGAAGGAGGTAGGAAGTCGCTGTTTATAACTCAGACATTTGTATAGGTTTGCAGAATATCGCTGGTTTAACAGCGTGGAAACAGTTCTTTATAGGCTAGATGGATCAGCACGAGGCTATGATTTAACTGCAGTCTTTTCAATCAAAATTAATTTTGTGGCCAAAGAGAAGTTCGTCGAGTAAAGGTTTCTGTTTTCGGCGTTCTGGAATACGCTCTAAGCAGTTTAACAAACTCCGAGCACATTCATGTATACATTCTCTGAAAATCGTTTTCCTTGAAAGAACCCTTTTTTGCATTCTTCGGCTTTGGTTGCCATTTTGTATGCCAATTCGAAAGATCGTCTTTATTCTAAGAGGTAACTCCATATACTGAATTCAGCCATTGTAATTTGTTCCTTATTTTTGACTCACGGATTTTACAAAGCAAGCGAAAATTGGGCTATTCCATTAATATCCGTAACTACCCTATCGAGGACCTTGGAATTCTTCAGGGGTAAGGTAATTTTTAACCCTGGAATTCCTCATGGGTAAACAGGAATTGTCCAGGGGTTGGTTATTCTGAATGAGATTTCCTCAGGGGTCAGATGTAAAAATTGAAATTCTTCAGTGGTAAATGTTGATTTGTTCAGGAGTAAATGCTATTAACAGGAATTCTTCAGGGGATCTCGTTATCTTTTTCAAAAATTCTTCAAGGATATGGTAAAGGATTGTCCTAGATAGGCGAATTGCGTCTTTTAGATGGAATAGCCCATTATAATTTGGTCAATGAACAATGTATAAATTGAATTACTTTACCTCTTTAGGGATTGAATGCTCTTTATGACTTTCAACAACAGCACAAACATGTGGATATCGATCCTTTTCTGAAGCAGACATCAGAATTCTTTCAAAAGTACATTACTAGGGGTCTAAAGACGATCGAGGAAGAAAGGAAGCAAGCCAATTCAGGTATTACGAAAGTCACCGAACTGTGGAATCGCATCAAAAATTCGTATCGCCGCCACTCCACAAACGTCTATAGGACCGCATCTACATATTTTTGCATGTTTACAATTCTAATTTTAAACAGCCAATCGACGTTTAATTGTAATTGTTACCAAGAACCGGATTGGTTGTTCAAAATTAGAATTGTAATCATGCAAAAATATATAGCCTAGGTGCGGTCGTAGACGTTTGTGGGAGTGGCGGCGATACGAATTTTTGATGCGATTCCACAGTTCGGTGACTTTCGTAATATAACATTTTTGTCGAGTTTATTCAATTCGTTAATTAAAAAATTAACAGATTGTTTCAGTGTAAACCCGACTTGTTTACCTTCGTTTATATTAAAATGTCTTCACATCTCTTTGCATCATAGAAAACATTGAATTACGAATGACAACTTCAACAACTATGGGTATGTAACGTTCGTATTTTAGCAGTATGTGTATGACAAGAGGAGATTTTTGTACACTCTAAAACTCTCCTGGTTATAAATTTCTTGTTTAATCTAAAATTAACTCTGTTCGAGTAACTTAATGTGAGTTGTACGCATGCTCGGCAATTGTTGCAAAATATAAGCAAAGTATTTAGAATTTCTCTTGGAAAATTTGGTTTGTACTGTTAGTGTTTGTATACATCATACTTGACCTTTACTGATACTTAAAATCTCCTCAAGAATGAGAGAATGTTTGCTGTGAAGTGTGGGCCTGCGGTTGATATCTTTAAAACTGGACTAAAGGTTTAAATTTCCTTGGCATTGGATTATTGACGTTGCTCTCATATACTATTTTTTGTGCCTTAAATTAATTTATACTCTCCTGTCACAATTTATGGTATACGTAGTGTTAGATCCACACTTCGCAGCAAACATTCTCTCGTCCTTGAGGAGATTATATTTATCATGAATACCGACAGTATAAAAGGTCAAGTACGATGTATACAAATACTAACAGTACAAGTTGAAGCGCCTTCGCTCGAAACGTCGAAGTTCTCCTTGTATTTTTCAGGCAGTTGTATCCATATCAATCCGAAGCTTTCGTACATATTTACCCCAGAAGTTTTAGTTGTTTTCAATTGATTTCAGTATAAAAAGTATCAAATGTTCGACGAGAAATTCTATATACTTTGTTTATATTTTGCAACAGTGGCCGAGCATGCGCACAACTCACGTTGGAAATGCAACCTGCGAACGGGCATGCTCGGGGAACGAGATTGGTACCACCTGTACTTAGACCATCGAGAGGAATGGATTGGGAATGCCAATGCAAAAACTGTTGTCATTCGCGACATCCGCGTTATGGCCTATGACCCTGCGAAAACTACAGTGCGAACCATGATATTAATTACTTATGAGATTTGGGCATTATGTCTTCGAATTAGGAGGGTAAAACATAAATACAAGTGAAATTTTTTTTGTTTATAGTGGAAACATCGTTGCAATGTTTACATTTCCTATTAGTCACGTGATTACAAAATCCAGGGGTTCCTCTATAAAAGAGGTGGTCCACGGTATTAATTTCATAAATCATCCGGCAATATGGGACGTAGGAAAGACTTAGCAGAAGCCGAGAAAGCCGCTATTATAAAAGATATTGCAAAGGGCAAAACAACCAAATCAATTGCTGAAAGAATATATCGCCATGTGGTCACAGTGACAAGATTTTTGCAAAATCCCTCAAAGAGGAAACCTCCTTCTGATCGCGGCGTTAGAAAATCAGTGTCAAAGCGGGATATGTATATTGCCTGAGAAGAAACTTACGTAAAATGCCAGGAGCAACAAGTAAAAGAATCTTTAAAGAATCAGGTCTGCCAGATGTACCAAAACCCACCCGAAATTGTATCCTTGGGAAGCTAGGTTCCGTCAAGACTATGATTAAAAGGCCTTCCTTGACATCTAGGCACAAACGTTTGCGGATGGAATGGCCAAGAAAGTATATGAAGACAGACATGAAGTTTCTTCTTTTACTGACGGGTCAAGAGCGTCACTAGATGGTCCTGATGGCTGGGCTAAAGGATGTGTTTTCAATGGAGATAATTGTCCTAACAGGATGAGGCGTCAACAAGGTGGTGGTGGGGTTATGATTTCGGGCGGAATCATTCGAAATGCTATCATTGGTCCCTTCCGCGTTCCTGAAGGTCTAAAGTTGTCCTCAGTCAAGTATTACCCGTTCCTGAAAAATTCACTTGAGCCATGGTTGGATAAACTTCCTATGGCAACATTGAAGATTATCTTTATGCATGATAATGCACTGTCCCATGCAGCAAAGGCAACAACGCAATTTCTTCACTCACTTGGATTTATGAATGAAACCCTGATGGTTTGGCCTCCAAACTCACCAGATTTAAACCCAATAGAGAACTTGTGGTCAATAATAAATCGTCATGTTTATGCGAATGGCAAGCAGTACTCATGAAAAGATGATCTGTGGATGGCCATCAAAGAATCAGCAGCCACCATCCCTAAGTCCACCATCGAGAAACTGACTGATTCAGTGAATGACAGACTTTTTGAAGACATCAAACGTCACGGGGCCCATGTTAATAAATAAACTTTTTCTATGATTTGTATTTTTACGTTTGCCAACTTCATCAACGCGTATATTTCTAAAAATCTGTATTTGAATTTATAAAAACTTGAAAAACTTAAATATCAATAAAAATTTGACACTGCTTATTGTTTATTTGTTTTGAACGCTGTCAACGTGGTTTTTCTGAAATATAACTAATATCGTGGTTCAGTAAAAAAAAGCACATAATATATAAAACCCTCACAGTTTTTATAGTATTTATATTTGATAAATTGAGCAGTTGTATAGAGTTTTCAGCCAATATTTCGTAAATTCAATAAATTTTTATGACAATTTGCGTTTGAACCCTGTAACGTCTGAACCCGTTTGAACGTTTAACCCTGTAATTTAAGAGGAGTATTCTTAACCCCCAAACAATATGTCTACGAAACAAAAATATAAGTTTCTTTGTTCATCTTGCCATGGATATAATAACGATTTATTTATATGTAGGTGATCCTTCATATTTCCGTGATCGACTCCTTGTACTGCAGAAGAAGTACGGAAATATTCAAACAAAAGAGGTAAATGGTAAATGTGCATGCAAATTATGAATGTATAGCGATAAACGTTATGTTGATATCTTAAGTTAATAAAAGAAATAAAGTCAAAATTTTCCCATTAGTAGAGCTCTTTTCTACAAATATCATAATTTCTAGTCCTCCATGGGAGCAAAACACATCAGTACTCGGCTAAGCGAGAGTTTCACCCTAGTAATGGGAATGGCAGTTTTTACGAGCCACTTCTTTTGGGAAGTTCACAAATTATGCATTATGGTAAATTCACAGCCTGTGAAATCTTGTAAATAAAATAGTGTGCAACACGCTTGTCAAACTCTTTTAAAGACATTCTAAACACTAAAGTTTTTTTGGGGGAACGTAGAGGGCTCTGAAAGCTGGAAGCTAAATTTATAAAAGATCGTGAAGACATCTTTGCATGCTTATAAAATGTATTGTACTAAGGAAATACAATTGACCAATCAAATACGATTTTGACTGTAAGCTTGTATTGTGGTTGGCTAAAACAGTCGTAGTTAATTGTAAGTTTTGCCTCTCATCAGATTCATCTTTCATTAATTTCATTTTAAGCCGGATGAGCCTGTGGAAGAAGACGCATCAGATAAGGTATTGGTTAACACACCTTCCTCGACACCAAGTACTTTGGCTACTGTGGACCATAATCTTGTTTTACCATCAATTGTAAGTATTTTTTATTTTCGACATGGTCTGCGAGCAGTACCATGCATGACACCCACGGGATACACTTGTCTTAATTTTTTGCCTTCGAATTATAATTGCGCACACTGGATATCTATACTATCTAATAAATTCCTCATAGAATTAAATGAGAGAGTTCAATAGAGCGTTTACACTCATTCCTTAGGGACCAACTTAACAAAAGCCATAGCGGCCATGTTGGTGTTCCGGACAAAGGAGTCTAATTAAAATTCTTTTGAATTGGAACACCAACATGGCGGCTGTGACGTCATGTGCGTTTAAACGCTCTATACATTTCATGAGATTAAATTTAATACACTTAACCACGTATCCAATATAATTCGATATCCATTTACTCATGAATATATTAAAGATGTGATATTGTGTATGTGGATATTTCTATGGTAGGTGGGAAATGTTTTTGAGTGAATGAATCGAACCCAAAACCTTCGAAATGGTTACTCGATGCTCTTCCAACTGCCCCACATGGTCAAGTTCTGCGAAATTCGGTGTATTTAACAATAGCGCAAGGATATTCACCGAAACGCTAAGCGGTGAGGTGAATATCCTTGCACCATTCACCGACAATGAGGTGAATAATTGTTTTAGCATGTACCACTTCAAAACAAAAGTGACTATAAAAAACAATGGAAATATTTTAAATATAAAACAATTTGTATATCAGCTCCCGTAACAGTTGTAAATAAAACAGTATTTACACGCTTTTAGTAATTTTATTAGAAATATCTTTAAAGAATACCTCTACATACTTTTAAACAAAACTTTGTGGCTTTCTTCGTGTTTGGCAAAACCGCAGCTTCGTTTAGTACAAAAATGTTCTCGTCTACAGCGGGAACAAAACGGGAAGACATTTTGTTTTGTCCGTAGGTGAATCAAATTGCGTGAAAAGTACTATCCACCTCAGGAGTATATGCTAAAATTCAGCCAGCCACCTTTGGATTCCTTCCGTCAAGAACATATTCTATACCTATTCTCATATTTACTTTCTCTAGCCAAAGACTAGTAGCGAGGAGACGCCCAACACCATTGATAAACCAACCGAAAGTTCTACAGACTTGACGGAATTGCGAAAACGTTTAGAGAGAATCAAGAAAAAAGCAATATAGATATGCAAGAAGTTAAATAGGTTATTGTATCGTTCGTCTGTTCTGTTCTTGTTGTTAACAAATGAAAATATATTAGTATATTAAAGTGGTGATATAAAATGTGTATTACGATCTTCATGTACTGTTCGAAACATGCATGGTCCTGTAAACCAAATCTCAGCGACATGCCTCCTCGTACCCAGGGTCTTTTTGGGAAAGACCCTGGTATTGCTTGGTCACGTGACTCTGCAAAAATTAATTGCCCAAGGGGGAGTGGCAAAGTATCAAATTACATGCTTGAAAACATTACTGTAAATTTCAAATACCAGGAGTGGGATTTTACGGTACATAGTTCGAAGCGCCCGCTAACTTCTATTTTATACTTCTGTTTGCTTTTAAATTACAAAAGCACTGTAGCATTTTATCAACAGTCAAGTCAAGAAACAAATAAATCGTATACTTTAAATTTTCAAGTTGGGTATTCTCTCTATCTCAAACATATTTTCATATCAAACCGATCAGTCGTCAACGTTTGTATATTTTCGCTTTCATCTGTTTCTAAAATATGCCATTTATAGATTTGTTGTTTGCAAACGTTGATAAACTTTGTGCCAATTTTAATACTAATAGTGCGCGTCTTGTTTATTGAAGGTTGATAGATTTTGAAACGTAACTTTTTGCCACAAATCACAATGTAAACATGTGGACACTGCCAAACAGAGACTGAATGCTCACTTTAAAATTGTTGATGATTTATCTTTGAAAATACTTTTAATTCACTATACAGTACACATTTTATAACACGAAGATAGTCATATATTTCCATAAACCACGGCATAAACACTGATATGCACATGCAGTCATATACCCATAAACACTGATATGCACATGCAGATATAACACTGACTTAATTAGAGTTTGAGAACAAACCGTTTATCTCTAGTGCAACATAGTTAGATTCTAAATCTAAATATGTATATTAACACAACATATATTGATCTCTAAACAGACTAACAAGCAGTGTCCCACACTAGCATGCATAATTTTAAATAGGCCAGTATTATATTTCAGAAAGTAAAAATTTCTCGCGTATTTAATACTGTATGAACATCGATCAACAAATTACAGTAAAGCAAATGTCACTTAAAGTTATATTTATCAAATTTATTATGTGGTCTGTATTCTCTAATGTTAAACATAAGTTACGAATATTCAGTCATACAGTATTTGTATAAACATACACTCGACTGCCTTCGACTTATCTTTGAGTAGGCCATTTTACCGTAGGTTTGATAATAGAGAGGTATACTTCAACATATTTCTTGAGCATCAATGAAGTTTCAGCGAAGTCAATGGCAATGTTGGAATTTGGAAATTTCACAGCGCTTTGAATAACAGTCCGAGTAGCATTGTTTACAAGCAAGGTTTGTTCCGTTTGTAGTTTGCGATATTGTAGAAATTGAAAAGATCTCTCTATTTCGTTACAATTCCACATCTCAGTATTAAATAAATCTTTTAGGATAGACTTCAACAGGTAAATAACAGCTACATCGTTCGGTCTGGAAATATATTTTCTTGTAACGTTTGCGACGACGTGCAATTTCTTCGACGAGCCGTATATCACAGGCTATATATCACACCTTGTATATTGAAATCTGATATATCTTTGCTCACCGACATTCTGGGCACAATGACATTTGATATTTCTAATTGTGTAACTGGATAGTATTCATGACAAATAAAATATACAATCTTGTAAATATTTCCTGCATGATTTCTGCGTTATTTCTTCGCTCACTCCTTGCTCAGTGACAAAACGCTACTTAGTTACCCACCCTACTAGAAATTTATTGTTACCTCCCAGATTCTGGGAGACACGTGACCAGACAATACCAGGGTATTTTCTCAGCAGGTGGCCGTGCACCGAGTATAAGAGAAAATAGCCTGGGTACGAGGTTGGGCGACATGCCTGTAGATTTAATTTTGTGGTACATAGGCCGTGAGCTGTTGTGCGAAAAAGTGCCTAGAAAAGCAATTTCGTGGCACCCTCCTGGAAAATAGATTTTCTGTGGTTCAGTTCATAGAACCATAGATGCTTAATTACCACAAAAAGTTCCCAAGCAAAAAACTTGCCCAACACCGAGAAAATGGGTGATCAGTGATTATCCTCTATTAAATTGTATTACAGCAAGAAAATGTGAAATTTTGTATTCAATTACAACAAAAATAACTTGCATCATCAGAAAGCTTACAAAAACCTACATATAAGACATTTAAACAGTGTTTTTATATCTAAAATGGTTTTCGAGTTATACGCTGTCAGAAACGTGGTTTTGACCTAGTACCCAGTCCTTATTGCGACATTTTGGTCCAATTTTCCCATCGCAAAAAACTGTTTAAAAGTCTTATATGTGGTTTTTTGTACGTTTTCCGATGCAAGTCATTTTTATTGTAATTAAATTATAAAATTTCCCATTTTTTGCTGTAATACAATTTAATAGAGGATAACCATTGATCACCCATTTTCTCGGTATTGGGTAACTTTTTGCTTGGGAACTTTTTTTTGGTAGTGATGCACCTTTATGCCTTTCAAATAAACCCCAAACGAAATATTTCCCACATGGGTGCCACGAAGCGAAATAATCTTGGCCAACAGCCCACGACCTAACATAGGTACCTGGCCAACTGATCGAGCTCCAACTGATTCTACCCCAACAGAACCTGAAATATTAATGTTCAAAAATTGTCCGGAAAAAATGTCCGACCAAAATAAACTGATTTGATCGGAAACATTTTTTTATTTCATTTTGACTCGATGTCTTCGTTGGGTAAATTAAGCCAAAATACATGCAGTATAATTAATACTTTATATGTGTGAAATTGTTTTTCATTGAAATTGCTCTCATTCTGGATTTAGATTTAATTAGATTACATCACATCACATGATAAAACATTGATTTTATCAATTTTTATTTTTTTTATATATATTTGTATTAAAGGCGCACAAATCTATCATGTCCCGCATATTTTAAACAAAGAATTTTTACCATAAATAAAATTGCGCGAAAGTTATAATTGTGATAGATACGATATTGGGTCACTTGTGACGCAGTATGAGGCGCCATTTATGACAAAATATCATAGATAAATATACGTATCAAGAATATATATGTGTATCAAAAATATATAATATGTATGTGCAAAGGGAAATATTTGTATCAGCAATACTACAAAAATGTAATAGAAATATATAACATATGAATACGTCAGTATTCTTTGCCGTATAAATATGTCATCAATTTCCATAACGTATAAATACGTCCGTGTTCTTTGCCGTATAAATATGTCACAATTTCCATATCGTATAAATACGTCAGTGCATGCTCTTTGCCGTATAAATATGTCATAAATTTCCATAACGTATAAATACGTCAGTGTTCTTTGCCGTATAAATATGTCATCAATTTCCATAACGTATAAATACGTCAGTGTTCTTTGCCGTATAAATATGTCATCAATTTCCATAACGTATAAATATATAATTTCCATATATAATTTTCATATTAATTTATAATATCCATATAATTTCCAATTTCATAAAATTTGTGGATGTACTTCATGTAATTTTGGCATCACAAAAACAATGATTATGTCATCTGATTCCTGTTCCCGCCAAAATTGCCATGTGGAAGATGTCGATAGTCAATTTATCCCGGGCGTTCTGTGACCCCCGTCCGCGATCATATCAGATCATGTCAGCGGCTCAGCATTTAGCATTAATTAATACAATTCGAATTCGTGCGCGAATTATTATTTAATTGGAATATAATACACTTAAAAATAAACGTGACCCTAACTCTAACCTTAATTTAACAGAAAGGTGTTGTTTAAAAGCAATCTTAGGAAAAATCATACACTATACAGAAGTCCATATCCATGTGTTTTTTTTTGGCGTAAGCGCTATTCGTTATGATTCGTCACTCGATGAGCAACTGGACGTGTTCCATTTTGAATATTTCCAGGGGGGTTACTGCTTCTGTTTACGGTACTTGCTAGTAACGAATGCCGCTTACGCAAAAAACAATGGAGATGACTTCTGTTTAATAGTATTCTGTGTCAAAGACAACGTGGAAATGGCGTCAAAATGGCGTGGCATATCCATACATGGGCACAACACGCCATTTTCACGTCGTCTTTGACGTCCGCGTCCTCGATCTAAATCTGTCTAATGTATGTGTTTCAACTAACTGAAAAGCGAAAACAGAACTTCGACGTTGTACGTTACATTTTACAGGTAGTATATCCCTCTCGCAGACAACGGCAAAATGTTATCGATTTCAGTACTTTATATAATTTTAAAAACGAATGCAATGGGTAAATAGTTTATATTCACTCTCCTCCGCAGAGCCTTACGAATTTTTAGTAAAATTACGTAATATTACTTGGGAAACAAATTACGTAATTGTTAGTTATTTTGTCAACCATCGATCTCACCCCCCGTCGCGCACCACTAAATGTCCTCTACTATCCCTACATTATCCCTACAAATCCTAAATAATTCAGACTCTGCGGAGGAGAGTGGTTTATATTAGTTAAGCTAAAATACTTGTCGATCTGGCCATGGCCACGTCTCATGACAACGACGAATGTAGTTTTCCACAGATTTCCGCATGCATGTTTTACCAAAAGAAACGTTTAGCTGGACCAGGATGTGAATATTTAGTCCTTTAATAAGCTGGTTTTCCACTAGCAAATTTTTTGCGCGAAGCGACCTTTTTCCTTTGTCGGTATCACTTATTACGTCAGCAAGACATGGCAAAATGGATGCCGACACTGAAAAAGGTTGCTTCGCGAAAAAATTCGATTATGGAAAACCGGCTTTAGTGCATACATACTCAAATTAAAAGCAACCCATGAAATTTTACACCTTACCGTACCGGAGTAATCACTGAATACATACGCCATCAAAACACTCCAATAAAAGAACGGAAAAAACGTCAGAACACACGCCATCAAATACTCGCGTACGGTAAAGTGTAAAGTACCCGCAACCCACATAGAAAAAACAACCTATCGTAGTAGTCGTAGTGATCATGATGGCAAAGTGTTATTAAACTATGATCAGGTCGTCATGCTGCTAATTTATGTTTAGGTGACCGTTTGA